TGCACGACATTCTGAGTAGCTGTTCTGAGTAGTGTGATGAAATCTTGTACTATCTCCCTACACTTCCCCCAGAACTTGAATCATCCATTTGTCCAGCGTATCTGTACTATATATAATACTTGCCCATTAGCAACACATAAGAAAAAACAAAAACATAGTCTATACAGGGTTTGGTACCACCTGCAGTTTTAGGCATGCACTGGGGATACTGGAACATTCATATCCCCAATGGATAAGGGGAGACTGTAGTATGTATGAAAAGCTCTAAGGCAGTGGAGTGTAATAGGGGTATGGAGGTGAGGGATAGGAAAAGCTGACCTAAAATGGGGAGCATAAACTATAGAAGACAGAAAGCAGACATTACTGGGCTGAGGAAAGCATGGAATCCCTTGCATTACCTTCAAAAAGGCACAGGAAATCATCAGAAAGCTCTTAGTAGGGAAATGACATGATTGATGAGAATCATGTGAAATGGTTTTAGCTTCAATGAAGCAAAAAAAATATTTGGAAATTGTACATCTTGATTTTGTGACAAATGCCATAATAACTATTATCATAATGGCACCAAGAAATATCTCAAACAGAAACAGGTAAGTCACCCATGTAAGTCACTCATTTAAGAAAATTTTATGTCAGTGTAGCTGAAGTGAAGGTTTATAGAACTGAAATTCACACTGTCAAGTTAAAAGAGATTTTATATGCACTACTGAAATAATGGCAAATCTTTTGTAATAATTTATTATTTTGAAGAAGGAAAAAATGTTTTAAAGGAAATTGCCAACATGTCAGAAGCATTTTGAAGCATCCAATATTTAAATCAAAATACTTTCTAACATATACTGCCTCAAGTCACAAAGTAGATCAGCAACTTACATGACCAGTCAAATTAATCCTGTCTTAATGAAAAGAATTTAGATAAACTAGTAGTCTGGCCTCTGCTCAGCATAACAGCAACACCCACAGCATACTTTGGTCCTTTATCAGTTAGGGTCTGTACTGGCATGCTGTGATAACAAAATATCACAGTCTCAGTGGCTTAGACAACAGAAATTTATATTCATATAGTTTTGAAGGCTAGAAGTCCAAGATCAAAGTATCAGCAGGTTTGGTTTCTTCTGAGGCCTCCCACCTTGGCTTGAGATGGCTACACATTCTTGCTGTGTCTTCATGTGGTATTTCCTTTTTGCACATGCATACCTAGTGTCTCTGTGTGTCCAAACTTCCTCTTCTTAAAAGGACACCCATGAGATTGTATTAGAGCTCAAACTGAGAGCCTCATTTTAACTTAATCACCTATTTAAAGGCCTTACCTGCAAATACAGTCACATTCTGAGGTTCTAAAGATCAGTGTTTCAACATATAAATTTGGAAAGGCACGTGTAATTCATCCCATAAAAGTGTCTTTCGGTGCAAACAACTAAAATCAAGCCAAATTTAAGTTAAAAAAAAAATTACTGGAAATGTTGCCCACAGAATCTAAGGAATCTGGCAATCTTGGATATTCAGAATTTTGGGAAACCTGGAGAAATCAGGTTAGGAAAACTAAAAGAGCAAGAGATAATAGCAAAGGATGTAAAGTATAGAGCAGATGCTGCCACCAGCCTATCACCACTAGATTTGTAATACAATGTATTCTTCTAATGTTCTGAAGGACTCCAGAACTATTTCTGAGTCTTGTCTCATTTCTTTGAGATTAAAAGCTTAGGCATGGTGGGGAGGGGTCAGGAAGAATCTGTTCCACAAACCCTAAATTATGTAACTAGAATCTGGTTCTGTGGGATAAGGGAAAAGGAGAAACTTGCCCCTTTAGTTTCTAAAGTGGGAATTTTAACATAATGGGTAATCTCTCTCTCTCTCTCTCACACACACACACACACACACACACACACACACACACACACACACACACACACACACACCCATACACACACACAGCACCAGGGACCTTTGGTTTTGTTTGTTTTGGATCTTGAGTCTCTATTCTTTTCTCTTCCCTTCCCTCCCTGGTAAGCAGGAAGAGGTTATATCATCAGGTAAGGGTATGTGTAAGGATCAAGGCAGTAACACTCTTCATTCCTCCTGCTGCAGTTTCAAAAGAGTGGGGTTGCTGAGAAGATCAGGGTGTGTGCAGCATCTTAGGTGGTCCTGTCTCCTTAATCTTGAGTCTCTGGTCCCTTTAATCTTACCTCAGGTGGTTCTGTTGCTGCTTCTCCTTTGATTAGCAATTGTTCTGCTCTTCAGGCTTCTCTGGTGGCCCAGATGGTAAAGAACCTGCCCGCAATGCAGAAGACGCAGGCTTGATCCCTGGGTCGGGAAGATTCCTTGCAGAAGTGTATGGCAACCCACTCCAATATTCTTGCCTGGGAATCCCATGGACACAGGAGGCTGGCAGACTGCAGTCCATAGGGTCACAGAAAGTCGGATGTGATTGAGTGACTTTCACTTCTTCCACCCTTTGGAACTTGGAGAAGGTCATAGAGGCTGCAGTCATGCCTACATGGAATGGTAGACAAAAAGGCCTTCATGCCCAGGAGTCCCATAGGGCCCTGCTCAGCATCACCGGGTCAAGAAGATCCCCTGGAGAAGGAAATGGCAACCCATTCCAGTATTCTCGCCTGGAAAAATCCCATGGACAGAGGAGCCTGGCAGCCTACAGCCCATGGGGTTGCAAAGAGTAGGATAGGACTTAGCAACTAAACAACAACAATTTTGATTTGTATAAATATTAACAGGCCCCATTTATTCATCTACTTTTGTATTATCAGTGATATGTATTTAGACTCTGAAGTGGAAGCTGTGTAACTGAGATTGGGACTTGAACCCATGGTCTTTTAGTTGAAATCACTCACCTGGTTTCAGAACATAATGAAGCTCAGATGTCTCATTCCAGAAAGCGTTCAGTGAGAGACAAAGCGATAGGTAAAAAGTGGATTTACCTAGAGAGAAATACATTCTACAGGCGTGCAGCAGTGGGCCATATCAGAAAGAGTGGCTCTGAAATACAGCATGGTTAGTTTTTTATGGGCTGGGTAATTTCATAAGCAAATGAGTGGGAGGATTATTCCACTATTTGGGGGAAAAGCGTTAGTTGCTCAGCCGTGTGGGGCTCTTTGCGGCCCCATGGACTGTAACCTGCTAGGCTTCTCGGTCCATGGAATTTCCCAGGCAATACTGGAGTCGGTTGTCATTTCCTTCTCCAGGGGATCTTCCAGAGCCAGGGACTGAACCCAGGTCTTCTGCATTGCTGGCAGACTACTCTTTACGATTTGAGCCACCAGGGAAGCCCATTTGTGGGAAGGAGCAGGGATGTCCCGGAATTGAGCCAACACCCACTTTCGGTCTTTAAACGGATTTAACAAGCTGCTTTGTTACCATTGAGTAAGCCACCATCTTGGACCTATTGGGTTGTAATCAGTTTCTGGCACTAGTCCTCCAGCTATGGCATTCTTTTAAAGTTTGTGGCCAGCCTCCTTCTGCCCCCATTTGAAGTTTAACTGCCAAAGTTGAAATTTCTAGCTCAGCCTTTATCAGAATCCTGAGTACATTTCTTCTTCTCTGTGCTTCACTTTAAAATGCTAACAGTAACAACTCCTATCTCAATGTCACTGTGATAACCAAATGAAATAGTGTGTATGCTATGCCAACTAGTTTCTGGATTCAGTTCAGTTCAGTTACTCAGTCGTATCCAACTCTTTGTGACCCCATGGACTGAGCACACCAGGCCTCCCTGTCTTTCACCAACTCCTGGAGCTTGCTCAAATTCATGTCTATCAAGTCGGTGATGCCATCCAACCATCTCATCCTCTGTCAATCCCTTCTCCTCCTGCCTTCAATCTTTACCAGCATCAGAGTCTTTTCCAATGAGTCAGTTCTTCACGTCAGGTGGCCAAAGTATTGGAGTTTCAGCTTCAACATCAGTCCTTCCAATGAATATTCAGGGCTGATTTCCCTTAGGATGGACTGGTTGGATCTTCTTGCTGTCCAAGGGACTCTCAAGAGTCTTCCTCAACATCACAGTTCAAAAGCATCAATTCTTCAGTGCTCTGGTTTCTTTATAGTCCAACTCATCCAAACATGACTACTGGAAAAGCCATAGCTTTGACTAGACGGACCTTTGTTGGCAAAGTAACATCTCTGCTTTTTAATATGCTGTCTAGGTTTGTCATAGCTTTTCTTCCAAGGAGTAAGTNTGGATGGCGTCATTGACTCAGTGGACATGAGTTTGAGCAAACTTTGGGAGACAGTGAAGGACAGGGAAGCCTGGCATGCTGCAGCCCATGGGGTCCCAAAGAGTCAAGACACTGCTGAGCGACTGAACTGAACTGAAGCATTTAAAGAAAGCTGTTGACATGTGCCCTCCACCCTCAAACTAGGTTTGGTAACCTCTCGTTACAAAGAAGATTTTAGGAATCATCTAGGCACTTTCCTAAAGCCTGAAATTAACCTGATAAACCTAATACACCAAAGGAGTTCACGGTTGGGCACTCCTCAAACAAAACGAAACTTTCTCCATTTCTTCATAAGCCTTCACAATAATCTGAAGCAGGCGGCACTCGCCAGTAAGCTGGCCCTGCTCCACCCGGGAACGAAAGAAGGTAACTCCGTATCCTGGCCTTCCAAGCCCCGAGTTGCTGTCGATGCTCAGTAGTCATCCAGGATGGGGATAATACAGATGACTGCTAATCCAGCCGGCAGGAAGAGCCTCCACCCTAGACGAAGATGGGCAAATCTCGCACATCGTCAGCGACACAGACTGTGTAGGGACAACACAAATGCAGTGGGTCCCAATCTGTTCCCCCCAACTATCACCGAGCCTGCGGCAATCTAGCAAAGGCCAGTCGGCTGAGCGACATCACACGTAACGCGCAGTCATTTTCCCACGTCTCGTCTCCGCCCCGTCCTGGCCCGCCGCTGCATAAGCGCAGGCGCAGATTCGCTTCCGGGTTCCGCTCCTCACTACCCACAATGCTCTGCAGCACCAAGCTGTCGCAAAGGCCGCATTCCGGCGGCGAGTGAGCGAGTAGCTTTACGTGCGGTGCGACGGCAACGGCGGCGCGCGTCTTCCTCATTTTCCTACCGTGGGGCCAGAGTCCCTGAGGGAGTCCAGTTGCGCTTAAGTCTGGCCGGCGCGACCTGTCTCCGCAATGCCCCCCAAGAAACAGGCTCAGGCCGGGGGCAGCAAAAAGGCGGAGCAGAAAAAGAAGGAGAAGATTATCGAAGTGAGTACCTACTCCCCTCCCCCACTCACGCCGCGAGTTCTCAGGAAAGCAGCCTCCCGGTTCCCCGCTCCCCGACTCCCGTTCGCGTCTTCTGGGCCCACGTGCCCCTTGGTTTGGCTCTGTGTGCCCACAGCCCCTTCTCCAGCCTCCTGCTGACGCTCGCTGCCTCTCATCGCTATAGTGACGCCGCGGGCTCCCCCGCACTCAGCCCCACACAGCCGCCTTCACCGACTCCCGTGCGAAACGACCCCCCCTACCCCTACCCCAGTGCCCTCACAGGGTTGTGTCCTCTAGTCACCGAAATTGAAGACGTTTCTAGGCTTGTCTTAAAAAAGAGAAATACGCTGAACTGTCTCGGACCACACTCTTTCTGGAAGGTCGACTTATGACGAGCCTTTGTGTTTCGTGTTTCTTTACCCATCACCTAGGAGTAGTGGTTACTTCCTTCAAGCCAACAGATTACTTCTTGGTGACATTTTTCGATCCACCTCTAAACTGTTTCAAGTTACATGAAGAGAGGAGATTTCTTTCATATCGTATCACACTGTCTTGTACATGACGCTTGTCACATAGGTTCTGGATTAAATTTAAATCGAAAGACGTTTTAAGGGAGATGAGATGTCACTAGCTGTGTTGTGTTGTATCTGAATTTGTTATATATTTATGTAAATTCATTTAGTTCACTGATTCTATTGCCTTTTAATGGCAGAGGAAAGCTATTGACGTTCTTAAATGTTTTATATTTGTAGTCCAATTCACTGTGTCAGTGAATTTCCTTTAAAGAGTGAACCGTGTTTGAGATAACATAAACGTATCGTATGGACTTCTGTGGTCCCGCCTGCCAGTACAGGAGACGCGGGTTCAATCCCTGCCTCGGGAAGATCCCATGGAGAAGGAAATGGCAACCCACTCCAGTATTCTTGCCTGGGAAATCCCATGGGCGGAGGGCTGGCGGACTACAGTCCATGGGGTCACAAGAGTCCGACACGACTTAGCTACTAAATAACAAGGTATTTCTTCCCCGAATTCCTGCTATTAATCACTCATAATTAAACAGTTCCTCATGTGCGTTAGAAGTAGTTGGAAAAGCCTTGACCATTTTCCTACATGAGATATATCTGAATAATTAATGGAGAGCTGTTTCAGGAATAGTTAACTTTTCGTTAGAACACGAAAAACCTGTTGGGTGTTTTGAAATAAGATATTTATTTGTAAATTATTATTTTAATATTCAGTATATATAGCCTTGAAAAATAATAGCAGTGAAATCTCTCAGGGTTTCATTGTATAAACCTAATCAGAACTTGTGTTTGTCAGAATTCCACAAAATTTTTAGTGTGTTGATTGGATTTAACTAACGTGCTTATTTAGAATTCTAGTAGCTTTGGCAGGGTTCCAGCTCTGAAGCAGAAAGTGTATTTTTACCCCCAATTTGTGCTATTTAAGAACTGTCTTGAAGTAGCATAACTAGAGATTTGAAAACAATCATTGTCACCTTCACATCTGTGTCTGCTGTACCTCTTTGAACAATCTGGACTCTTGACACTTGGTAAATCTCTGGGGATGGTTACCTGATGGCATTTGGTGCTATGTAAACCAAGGGCATTTTGGGGGTGGCATTTCACTTGTTAACTTCCTTTACTGAGGTTGAATTAACACATTCAACCATGATGCAAAGTAAAACTCACATATAGACATGAAATTAAATATTACATGAAAGTTAAAGCATACTTTATAAATTATTGAGTTTTATCTGTGTACAGTTATTTTTAAATAAATATTTAATTTTGTTTTAAGCAGTTGTATTTGAAAATTATAGTATTCCCATAACTAAAAATGATAGCTGTGGATTTATTCATCTTGTAACAAGGTTTTTTAAGGTAAATAGAAGAGGACTTTAGTTTCATTAATGAAGACTTCACCAAAGAAAAATGGAAAATAGACAGCTGTATTCTATAGCCAAATATATTGGAATAGTGGGAGTAAGCCTTTCTGCCCACATTTAATATATGATGAGTGATTTTTTTTAATAGTAATTTTTTTTTTTTTAATGGTAGTGTGCTGCTTAGATGTTTACTACCTCCGGAGAGGAACCACAATATTGTAAATTGTAGGTTAAGTTTTATCATTTTTTTGCGAAACTAGATTTGTAGAGAATACTATGTTATTGAGCCTGGTTAGGGAACAGTATATTCCATTTCATCTGGAAAAGCACTTGTTTCATTTTTTTGTACAATTTGAACACTGTTAATAGAAAGACTTTTTATTACCAAAGCCTTTAAAAGTTAAGATGAAGTAAAATATACTTTTTTTAATTCTACACATTTTAAATTTAATTTTTATATACAACTTCTAAAGGTTACTTTCCATTGATGGTTATTACATAATATAGACTATATTCCCCATGTTGTACATTACATCTTATAACTTTTTTTTTTTTTTTTTGTACTTTTAGAGTCCACATATAAGTGATTTGTCTTTGTCTTATTTCACTTAGTATAATATCCTTCAGGTCCACCCATGTTGCTACAAATGGCAAGTTTATTCTTTTTTATGGCTGAGGTGTATTCCACAGTATATATACCACATCTTCCTTATCTGTTCATCTGTGATGGACACTTAGGTCGCTTCCACACCTTGGCAATTGTAAACAGTGCTGCTGTGAACCCTGGGTTGCGTGTATCTTTTCAAATTAGTGATTTGGTTTGGTTTTTTCTAGGTGTATACCCAGAAGAGGAATTGATGAGTCATATAATAGTTCTGTTCTTAGTGACAGTAAAGTATACTTTGCAACAAACTTACAGTGAACATGTGGCAGTTGAAACCTGGTTCATACTGATATTTGATTTTTATTACCATAATATTTGTGGAAAAAGTATTGTCTATATTTGACATGTGAAAGGTTAATAACATTTCAGAGTCTGGTTCATTTTGGAAAGTTTGTAGGCATATGACCAGAAATTCTAACTTCACCAAAAATTGATAGTTAAGTAGAACATATGCTTTTAAGCAGCACTTTTGAAGAGATTTTAAAATAAGTGGATGCACTACCCACCTGTCCCCTCTTCTATACCGCTGTTGCTTCCACTGCCACCGTCTTAGACACCCATTGTTAGAACAGCAGCATACATAAGTTTTGAGAACTTTAAGAAGTAAAAAGAGGCATGACAGGCAGCATAATTTAATGAAAGAAGCAGCAGCTCAAGGCCAAATAGACCTGGGTTTGAGTCCCATATTTTGCATTAAAATTTCAAACTAGTTTAGCCAAGTTACCTGACCTATTTAAACCACAATTTCTCGTTAGCAAAATGGAGCTAATTCCTGTCATTCCAGAACTGTGGGTTAAATGAGATGACATGTAAAGTACCTGACGTATGTTCAATTAATAACAGCTGTTGTTAATTCATTACTATAAAAAGAACTAGTTAGGGAAGTTAATCAGACTGACCTGCACTGTTTATACAGTGCTTACTTTCTGTCACTTGAAATAATTAACTTAACAGTGCCTGCATTTTTTTTCTTTCCCTATTTACCCCAAATTTCATGAATTCATTTGCATTTTATAAGTATATGTTTCCCTGGTGGCTCAGACAGTAAAGAATCCGCCTGCAATGTGGGAGACCTGGGTTTGATTCCTGGGTTGGGAAGATCCCCTGAAGAAGGGCGTGGCTACCCACTCCAGTATTCTGACCTGGAGAATTCCATGAACAGGGGACCCTAGTTGGCTCACAGTCCATGGGGTCACAAAGAGTCAGACAGGATTGAGTGACTTTAGCTTTCTTTATGAAATGAGTATATCAGAAAAGGTTATGGTTCTGTTAAACATTCATACAGTTGTCTCAAATAGCATATACTATTTGCTTTCTTTGGCTAAAACTTAATAAACTGAAATCAGCTTTGGGAAATGGAAGGTTTCTTAATGGAAAAGAGGAGATAATGGGTTAGGGCAAGCAAATAAAGGATGTCCAGCTAAGGCCTTGTAGCAGCAAAGAAGTAGTAATTGAGGCTTAGAGGGACAGGATCCAGGTGTGTAAAGGATGGAGAAAGAGAAGTGATTCTTGTTGCCAGTGAAAAACTTCAGCTAAGGTCAACTGTTTATTACTTAAAGCTGGATTAACCAGAAACAAAGTATCCATTGCATAGATGGACAAAAAAAAAAATATAAGAGTGCATGTGGGGATGAAACTAATGAGGTAGAACAGTGCTGGCCTTTGTTCACACTGGTGAACAAAAGGAGGACTCCAGTGATCTTTGAGCACTATTACTGACCTGCCCTCACACCCTCTTCCTTTTTTCATATATCTTAATTTAAGACATAGAGGCTTGTCTGTAAAAGAAGTAGGATTACTTAAGGGTAAGAAGGGGGAGAAAGTGTCAGTTTTAAGTCAGGTTTGGAGTTCACTGAATGTTAAGGCTTTTGAAGCCTCTGGGAGCCATCCTTTTAGAATTACTGCCTGATCTGTGAACTCCTTTGTATTTTATTTCCCATGCCTGAAACACACATTGTTCCTTCCTTATCACCTTACCTTTGGGACCTTATTAATCTAATGAGAACCACTATTTCCCTAGGGTTGAGTGTAACCTCTAGTCTTCCCATCTACTGTCCCTTGACCCTTAAATCCAGGTTACTCTTGAGATAAGGGTCTCTCCTATATTCAACAAGAAGGGGGAGGGAGTCTTTATGTATTCCAAATTGCAAACTATCCTGCTTTCAAGAGGTACTGTTGGTGCATCAGGTCCACAGTGTAGTATTCAGAAAACTTTGTGTACCGACCGACCCTGTAACTTAACTGGTTTCTCTGGGGAGTAGTTTTTCATGGTGGAAAGAACAAGAACTTTGCTTAGACTCAAATAATACCTGAACCAGACACAGATCTCAGTGTTCGGGGGAAAGAAAGAAAGAGAAGCAAGCCATCTACAAGTGATAAATTTTACACAGCTCCTTCAATTCCCTCACTGAAGTAAGTATTATTAACCTTTTTGTGTTTGAAGGAAGAGAAACAGGTTAAATAACTTGCCCAAGGTTATTATTGAGGCAGCAAGTGGCAGAGTTAGTATTTTGGTTCCCGAGTCCTTCCTGTTAACCACTGTGCTTCACCTCCTTGTAATAAGTCTTTTGACTTGCACTGCAGTCCTGAGATGCTAGTAAGTTGAGACCCACTTTACAAATAAGAAAACTGGCAAAGAAGGTAATTTGCCCAGTTCTGTTTGATACTGGAGCTTAGGCACTCTAACTCCAGAGCTTATACTCTGTAAATCGTTACACTGTACAGCCTGCCCCTTATTAACAGTGTTACTTTAAAAGAATTGAGTTTCAATATCCACATTTACAGAATGAGATAATATGATCTTTAAGAGGATTCAATAAAGTTATATATTCAGGAGTCTATGATTAGTGAATGCTAGATGTAAATAAGTGTCCTTTATCTCTGGAAAAAACAATAATTTCCAAGATCTAATTAGAGACTTTCAAAATACAACTCATTCATTATCTCTTTAGACTGGTTAATTATGTGCTAAAGCAGTGTAATTAAACCTGAAAAACTGTTTTTCTTCTGGGATCTGGAGCCTATACACCTCTACCAGAAGCTTTTGTCATGAGTACTTTCTAGCTGGCCAGCACCCCTTAAAGGACTTTTTTCTTTCCCAAATCTTCATATATCTGTATCTGTCTTTCTGTTTGGCCTTGCTGAATTCTTAGTTTGCTTCTCCTCTGTATTAATACAGAAAGCATGAACTGAACCCCAGACAGGTTCTTCTCTGGCGAGACATGTATAGATGGTATTGCATTTTCATGCTAGTAACTTTAATCTGAGGTTTTCCATCCCCTCATGAGACCTCATTTTTTTGTAAAAGGAAAGTACTTTATGACATTTCACACCTGGTTGCTGTATACAGTCATCTCTGCATATGTCACTTTACCTTTAACCATTTTTTTCTTCTAATTGGATTGTGTATTAAACTCTATAATATATAAACTCTATAAACAAGGGAAGCCAACCATATTTTTTTAAAAAAATATCAGCTTGTATATGCCACCTACCACCTTTTTTTATATGCATAGGCTGTAGGAAATTCATGTAGAATTTTGTGATATAATGCAATACATTAAAGCACAGGCATTTAAGTAGGGAAACTGAAGTTTTCCTATATGGATGGATATAGATGAGATGAACCAGGAGCTGTTTCCCAATGAGAAATAATCTTTTAAAACTAAAATCCTCTTGAACTTTATGATCTTGAGAGCATTGAAAGATATGTTTTATTAGTTTTTTCCAATTCCAGTTTGTTCGCATAGGTATATAAGTATTCTCTACCTATAATAACTTTCTTCTCACTACCCTGTCCCTTCCCTTAGAACTAATATCTAAAATAAAGGCTTTAAAATAGGCACTTAATTTATTTCAGATTGAATGCCTCTCAAAAGATCTCAGGTGAATTTAAGACCTTTTTGCCCCTTTCTTCCTTTTGAAAGCTCACTTATAAACAAGAGTATGAAGGAAATCCAAACTATGACTTGAAATTAGAAGACATCTATAATTTTGAACCTCAGCATACGAAAACTGATAGTGGATGGATGATGGTTTGCTTAACTGATCTTGTAGAACAGAGCGGTTGGGCCTGAGTGCCCACCTAGGAGTGTGTCATTGAGAAGTAAGTGGGTTTGCTCTGCAAAATTTTCCAGAAACTCAACCATGGCAGGTACTAGGTAATGCAGAAGGCAAGGGACTAAAAACTGAGGGTTTAAAGTACAGAAGTAACTGATAGTTTTTATTTATTACCCCTGCAAGAAAGAGGGCAGAGGTTATAAATCAGGAGGCCTCTCTGCTTCTGTAACTAGGCGCAAGGGATGTGGGAGGCATGGTTAAAACGTGAGCCTGAAAAGAGCCACTAAGATGTCTATGTAGTAAACTAAGAGACACCTCCTACCTGCTCTCTTCTTCAGTCCTCTAGTCAGGCTTGTTGCTGTCCTAGCTGAAAGATCCTTCTCAAGAGAAAGAGAAAAGACAGGAAAAAAGACCACAGATACCAGTGTTTGGTGATTTCCTGATAGGCTTTTCACCTTAGGATGAAGCTCACTCAGTCTAGCCTCCTGTGTACTTTCTAGGGTTCTCATACAAATTACCACAAATTGGGTGACTTGAAACAACAGAAATTTATTCTCTCACAGATACGGAGGCTAGAAATCTGAAATCTGGTGCAGGCAGGACAGTGCTCCCTCAAGACTCTAGGGAAGAATCTTCCCTTGCCTTTTCTTTTTCTTTCTTTTTTTTTTTTTAATTTAAATTATTTATTTATTTTACTTTACAACATTGTATTGGTTTTGCCATACATTGACTGACTCCGCCATAGGCGTACATGTTTCTGGTGGCTTCCAACTATCTTTGGCATTCCTTGACCTGGAAGCTGTATCACTGTAATCTCTCTGCCTCTTTCTGCACATTGCCTTCTCTCTAAACCTGTTCACCCTTTTCTTCTCTTATAAAGAGACTAGTCGTTGGATATGTAAGCCAGTGTGTCTTCGTCTTAATTTATTATAGCTACAAGGACCTTTTTAAAGTCACATTCTGAGGTCTGGGTAGACATGACTCTGAGGGGGACACTATTCATCCTACTGCAGCATTAGTAGTCAGAGGCTGTCGTTTAGTGCACGTAATGTGCATTCCACAAGTGATAGCTGCTATTGTAGTAATAGCTTTCCCAAAGTACTATTTGATAATATTCCAAATTTAAAGTGTTGATTTTTAGTTAGGAATACTTCAATTTTAATATTTCTATTTTAACAACAGCTAGTAATGCATGCACTTTAAATTTGAGTTCTTTAATTGTTTAGAGAGGATAGTTCTATTACCCAAGAAACCAATTCAGAACTTAATGTATCTGCTTATGCAGTATTCCCCAAAATGTGTTAGTAGTAAGTTCATAATCCCTCATTTTTTGCTGAGAAAAATACTTTCTGAGGTAAAGGAAGATTTAGGATGGCTGCCTCCCCTCTGGGTAAAGGTTTTCAGGTATCCTGTGCTTAATAATTAGAAACCCTGTTGAATAAGCATTTTCCTAAACTTATTTGATTGTTGAACTAATTATACTGTTGTAACAACTCTGCATATCCTGTAATACTGATATTCTAAAACAATTCAGAAAAAGCATCATAGACTAACAAGTTTAATGATGATAGTTATAAGTATGTATTGAATCCTCAGTTCAGTTCAGTGCTCAGTCGTGTCCAACTCTTCGCGACCCCTTGAATCACAGCACGCCAGGCCTCCCTGTCCATCACCAACTCCCGGAGTTTACTCAAACTCACATCCATTGAGTCGGTGATGCCATCCAGCCATCTCATCCTCTGTCGTCCCCTTCTCCTCCTGCCCCCAATCCCTCCCAGCATCAGGGTCTTTTCCAATGAGTCAACTCTTCGCATGAGGTGGCCAAAGTATTGGAGTTTCAGCTTCAGCATCAGTCCTTCCAATGAACACCCAGGACTGATCTCCTTTAGGATGGACTGGTTGGATCTCCTTGCAGTCCAAGGGACTCTCAAGAGTCTTCAACCCCACAGTTCAAAAGCATCAGTTCTTCAGCGCTCAGCTTTCTTTACAGTCCAACTCTCACATCCATACATGACCACTGGAAAAACCATAGCCTTGACTAGACAGACGTTTGTTGGCAAAGTAATGAATCCTAATGTAGCATTAATATAAATTGCTAACATATTTCAATACTGTTTCTCATTTAGGACAAAACTTTTGGTCTGAAGAATAAGAAAGGAGCAAAGCAACAGAAGTTTATCAAGGCTGTCACTCATCAAGTTAAATTTGGTCAACAAAATCCCCGTCAAGTAAGTAACTTAAATTTCTGCATTTTCTTCATATGGATGTAATACAACATTGTTGCAGATAAAAATGTTTGGTGCTATAATTGTGTTTCAAAACAGAATCCTACTCTGTAAATTTACCTGCATCTTGTCTTGGTTACTCAGCAATACCTTCTAGATACTCTTTCAGGCCATTTTTGTATAGCTCTAATTTATTCTAATGGCTGCATACTGTTCTATGATGTGGATGTACTATATCCATCTTTTCACTCTTTATGAGTAATCACTTTGTTTCCAGCTTTCTGACTTTAAGAACAGTTCTACAAGAAATTCTCTTGCACAGGTGTTTTTACATGCATTTGTGCTTTTTATTTATGTAGCATAAATTATCTGGTGACATATTTCTAAATAAAGGGAAATGAACTTCTAATTTTAAGAAGTTTGCCTGATTATTCTCCATAGAGATTGTAATACTTCACATTTTCATTTGTAGTGCATGAGTTATAGGTACTAAAGCTCTTTTTAATGTTTTCCAATCTGATTAAGTATAAAGTGATACCTCATTTTTCTCTTCCTTATTCTAGTGAGTTTGAAAATTTTCTTAAGCTTTTTGACTGTTTGAGTCTGTACTTCTGACTTTTCCATTCAAATCCTTTGCTTTTTTGGTTTTTTGTCTTTTCATTGTCAACTTGTGAGAGATATAGATAATTTGTAATGTTTCTGTTACATTTTGCTGTACAACAGTCTACATTATAGATAATTTATGATGTTTCTGTTACATTTTGCTGTGCAACAGTTTTTAGTTTTTGTACTGTCAGATATGTCTAGCTTTTCTTTTATATGGTTGAAGAGGTCTCCCCTGCCACCAGATTATGTGTTTTTCTTAGATTTTTTTTCTATTTACAGTCTGTAATTTATCATATAAATTAATTTTGCATGATATTTCCTTTCAAGTAAATAGCTAGCATCATTTATTTCACTGAATTGAAACATCCCTATTGACATAGATTAAAGTCGCATATATATTCAGATCTATTTCTAGATTCTGTTTTCTTTCCCTAAACCAGTACCACATCGATTTTGATTATAGTGGCCTAGTACATATTCTGTTAGCTGATAAGGCAAGTCCTTTCCTTTAAGATGTTGCTCCTTTTCTGTTTTTCTTAGCTGTTCTTAGGCATTTATTTTTCCAGATGAATTTTGGGGTTATTTTTATCAATTGGCAACTCATTCAAAAAACTTCAGACACATGTTCTTCAAATCTCTGTATTCTCGTTTCTTTTTTTTAATGTAGATCTTTCGCTTTGAGTTTAGGATTTTATAGCCACAGACATTTATTTTAAAAAGTACTTTTTTCACCACCCTATCTCCTTTTCCTTAATTTTGAAACACCTCTTTTCCCATCTGAAAATACCAAAATATATATTCATAAGATGGTTGACTTCTATCACTGATTCTGTCTACAGATTAGTACTTCCGACACTTTTCTTTCTCTTATACATGGTTTGACTCAAGAGCCAAAAGCTTGATCTTCTACACTGCTGACTTAGTAGCCTGGTCTAATAAAAATGTATGCGCAGGCTTTGGAATCAGATCAGCCTGAGTATGCATCCCTCTATCTTATTTGTTTTATGATCTTAAATTATTTAATGACACTGGTCTTCAATTTTTAGTACAGTGAAAGGGCAATTACCCTTGTAGGTTTTCTGTGATAGTTAAATGAGAAGATAGTGTAAATCTTCTGGCATAATGTAAGGATTCATTTCAAACATGTTTCCTCTTCCTGTTTTTTACTTCCAGTGGGAAGTATATTGACTGGTAATTTAAAATTTCATCAACCTTAGAAAGCCATAAAATATCTTGTGGACTTGAGAGTACTTTCAGTAATACATTTTTTATAATCTCTTGGGTAACTGGCCTTTTGTCTGTGAACTTGAGGTATCTAACCACCATACTTAACACTGGAAATGAGCAGCAGTCTTTCTGTTAGAGCCAGGCAGAAGATTCTTCCTCCCCCCACCCCATCCCCACCAAACCCTGTGCTGCAGAGGATGACCTTACTTTGTGTCTCCTCTAGATGCATTTCTCCCCATACCAGCTCAGGGCCTCAAAGTCACTTACCCCAAGTCCATCTTAAGATACACTTCACTGCCCATGTGGCTGAAGTAGTCAATGCGAGGGCATGTGCTGGGAGTATGGACAGAGTCTAGATCCAAACCATGTCCTCCCCTGCACCTTCTATCTCCCTGCACACATGTGGTGGAAAGAGGAGGAGCCAGGGGTTGATTCTTGCTTTACTGCCGTGCTCCACGTGGAACTCCATGAAACCTGAGTGTTTAAATTTGAACCTGCTCTTCCATGTCACAAGGTATGTTTGTCAAGTAGGGGTACAAACCATACTTTATTTAACAATCGTTTGATTTCTAACATAAATACTTACAAAAGTGGTTCTGGTCCCCACAAACATCTGTTACAAAGAATACTTTTATTAAAAATAAAGTGACTTAAGTTTTTATTTTTAGAAAACTTTTCTCATTGTTCTGTTTAAACACATCTGACCACATCATCAAAGCCAGGATTTAGAATGTTTTTAACCCTATTATAATACTCGGCCAGTTCTTTCCTAAAATTTCCTTTCCCTTTAATACTTTTTTGTCCTGAATTTCTACTTATTTCTTTGATGTTTCTTTCTTCCTTTAACAAGCTTTTCAGGTTCTTTTGGCTTGTTTAACATTGATACTATTCAGGGTACTGTTCTCTGCTCTTATACTTTTTTATGGTGTCCAGGCATAATCTCATACACACCCTTTATTATCTGTAAGCAGCTATTTCTAAAATCTTTATCTCAAAGCAGACCTTGTGTCCAGGAATCAAGATCCATGTCCAGCTGCCTCCTAAATAATTCCACCTTTCTGCCCTGTCAGCATCTCATACCAAGTATGTCTAAAACTGAACTCATCTCCACCTCCTGCCATGAAACCTGTTCCTCCTGTATTCCCAGTCTTGTTTAGCATCACTCACCATACAAATGATAGTCCTAGACTCCTCCCTCTGCCTGATACTTCGTGTCTAGTCAGTCACTTAGTCCTAACAGTTTTAGCTCCTTAACAGCTTTCTTCCACGTTGCTCCATCCTTGCTACTAACGCCTGTTTTAAGCTCCTAGGCTTTCTTGGCTACAGCAGTTGCATTAGCCTCCTAATTTTCCTTGCCTTCATTCTTGGACTCCTTTCAGTCAACTCTTCATAAAGTTGTTATTGTGATCTTTATGAAATGCAGTCTGATTGTGTCACTGGCTTACTTTAAACTCTTGAATCTCACCCTGTCCACCTGTTGATACAGTCCATATTTTTCATGGATATCTATCATAGCTGATTCATCTTTGCATTGGTTGAAGCTTCTGTTTCTGCATTTCTTGCTTATCAAAAGAATTTATCCATAAAGTATTAGCTCAGTCTAATTTTCTTAGGCATATAAGCATTCTTTGTTTCCAGAGCACCGTGTATTATATTATAGTTGCTGACATGTCTGTCTTCCCACTAGATTCTGAGCTTCTTTAAATAAGCATCTTTGTCTTTTCATCTTTGTATTCCCTGTCATCTAACATAGGACCTGACATATAAATGTTTGGATGAAACTTCTAATCATATTAGGTATGTAAATTGTGTGCCTGGAACTATGTCATATGTCATGTTTGTTTTGTTTTGTTTGGTCTCCCACATTGACCTAGCCCAGTGTTTTTCCCAAGGGTACTTACAGGTATTTGTGTTGGTGCAATTCTTTATTGTGTGGGACTGTGCGTTTTAGGATATTTATATCTCTGATCTTCAAAATGCACCTACTTATTTCTGGGGAGTAGTTGTTGTCACAAGAAGAAATTCGCAGGTGAGAACCATTTGCTAAAAATGCTGGGCATGTAGCATATGCTTAATAAATGCTATCGCTATAAGCTTTTGAATATGCTCTTAACTTGGCATGGTACCATATATAGGTTTTTTATGAGAGTCAATTGCTCTACAAGATTTAGCAGTTTCATTTACTAGTTTGACACACCATTTAATATATACTGGAAGGCCATTGTAACATTGATTTTAAGAAGAACTATATACATGTAATATGTGATTGTCTTTTTTATGTCAGTGATATAGACATTACTGTCTAGTGAAAACAGTTTTATTATATGACATCAAATTTATATATCATACCTGGTAATATTATAGGTAGCACAAAGTGAAGCTGAAAAGAAGTTGAAGAAAGATGACAAGAAAAAAGAATTACAAGAGCTAAATGAGTTGTTCAAACCTGTAGTTGCTGCTCAAAAAATAAGTAAAGGTAAACTTTAAATTTCAGAAGTGTTTTTACCAATGTAATTCATATTTGAAAATTCTTAAATGTTTTCTTCAGTTGTATATGCTGTGAAAATAATACTCTGTCAAAATTATCTATGTGGATTCTTATTATTATTTTTTATATGTGCATAGCTGTGTCATACAACTGTTAAGTCCAGCCATTAGCCCCCCACCCCCAATAAGAGAAGATTAAGGATTTTGGCAGTCTACTAGTTGATTTATAATCTCTGATCTTTGTTAGTAGACAAAGCAAACCTATGGTTATAAAAACTGCAGATCCCAAACTCTTGGCACTGCAAGTACATTTATATTTCTATTTCTCTTTTGGCTCTTACCTCATTGACTCCCAACTAGACAAGTAACTAGAATAACATATGCACTTAATTGGTTTCCTACCCCTTTGCTCTCCTTTTTTGGTAAGACTAAAGCAAACAAATACAGATATAATATGCTATAGAAAGAACCTCAAAGAAATGTCTTAATATTCACCTATATGTGTGGTATTTCCTCTCACACCAGTGAACAGAAAATAACAAATTAACCAAAAGTATTTGTATCTTAGAAAGAAACTGTACTTTGTTATCTGGCAATTTTTAGTATAAATGCCATGTGCTGTTTGACTTAGGTGCAGATCCCAAATCTGTAGTATGTGCATTCTTCAAGCAAGGACAGTGTACTAAAGGAGATAAGTGTAAGTTCTCTCATGACTTGACTCTGGAGAGAAAATGTGAAAAGCGAAGCGTTTACATTGATGCAAGAGATGAAGAGCTTGAAAAAGGTATTTTTTTTTAAAGACGTATTCTTAAAAGTAGTTATATTTGTTATTTGTTGTTGCTAAAATATTTAGTAGCTTGAAGACCATTTCAGTCTTAGTAGGACTGTGTTTGTCCTGAAGAATAGTTTGTTGTTTTTTGTAAAATCTGAATTTATCATATTATGGCCTTTGATTAAGTAAATGAAGATATTTAAAAACCAGTGGCTTGTTTTGTATTTGTTGCTCACTCTTTCTTCTAGTTTTACCTTCTCATTTGCCTGAACTACTTATATTTGGTGAAAATATCACAACACTGTTTATTCTTACCTTTGGTGTTTTAAAGGAAATGCGTTAGGTCATGAGTTTTATAATATGACTTTCTTGTATAAGGATATATGCAATGTATTTTGGGGACAGTAAACAAAAATTACAGCATTTGGTCTCCATATCTCTCTCTATTTAGATACTATGGATAATTGGGATGAGAAAAAACTGGAAGAAGTTGTGAACAAGAAGCACGGTGAGGCGGAAAAGAAAAAACCAAAAACTCAAATAGTATGTCCTTTTCTTGAATTGAGTTGCTTTGGTATTTATCATTAGGGAGAGTTATGTGGCAAGATATTTCTGCTATTTTCTACTAGATTATTATTTAAGTTACTGGATCTTTTCATAAAGATAAGGTGATCAGGCTTTGTGTTTGGAATATACAGGTGTCAGTTATACATAGTTCTTGCTCAAAAGTGACTTAAAAATCATGTGATGAAAGTTCTTCAAATGCTATTTTCTGAGATGGTTTTACTTTCTCAAACGTGGATGAATACACGTTTTCATATAAGAGTTCTTTTTGTACAAAATGAATGGAAGGAGAACTGTTAAACTACACTGTCTAATTCATAACTTACTCTGTTTTAATGGTAGGGAGACAATCATAAAAGTAAAAATATTATTATGTATGAATTGCAAAAATGAGTTTTTGGTACATAATGGTTCTAGTATTATTCCAGGAAATGTACTTTTACAAATCAGTGCCCTTTACTTATCTCTTGTAGTCTTTTAGGAAAAGGATATTGCTTATTAATTTTTCCTTCTTATTTGTAAAGTGTATTACCTAAAGCTTCAGTACAGTTTCATCTTGCACCCATTCATGCCTTGCTCCCTTCTTATACAAAATTGACTATAATTTCAGATAATTGAAATAATGTTTGCATCTTTACTGCATGTGGTTAGTTTTTAGAAAAGATCGAAACAAAGTTATTGGTTTTATTTTCTTGTAACCATTTTTAATTTCTCATATTTAAAAACCACTCTTTGGGTTGCATTTACAAAGACTAAATGTCAGCAAACCCTTTTGTATAATTCAGTTTAGAGCAATGTCAAAAATAAATATTTTATACAAGTCCTCTCTAAAGGAAAGTTACCAATGTATTAGATATTTTAAGATTAATGTGTATTTACATTTCTGTACACAAGGTATTCTCTACCTAAGTGGTTAGCTTAAAAAAGATGTGAATTGAATGTAACTGTTCCATATACCTAAGCATTTACCTTGGAAACGGACCACACTGAGCCACTACTTGTGAATAATACTGTCTTCTCTAGGTGTGCAAACATTTCCTTGAAGCTATTGAAAACAACAAATACGGCTGGTTTTGGGTATGTCCTGGAGGGGGTGATATTTGCATGTATCGTCATGTACTTCCTCCTGGATTTGTCTTGAAAAAAGATAAAAAGAAAGAAGAGAAAGAGGATGAAATTTCATTAGAAGATCTAATTGAAAGAGAGGTAACTGGTATCTTTTTCCTACCATAAAACTCTTAAAGCAGTATTGTGAAATTCTAATATTTACCACTTGGGGGCAACAATAGCATGTTGTTAAGAAAGGGAAAAAATAATACGAATTTTTCTCAAAGCTTCCTTACTTTTTATTTGGTTAATCTTACATGTCAAAAATGTAAACCTAGCCATAATCATGATATTAATTTTAGGATTGTGAAACAGTTTTTTTTAAGCGCTAGCCACTGGCTTACCAAACAAATTATTTTCATAAGATTCATATACTGGTAGATCAATTCATGAAAATGCTTAGTCAGTATTCAGAATGATTGAACTTGAAGTTTTAGATGTTTTCCTTGATGTCTTTATTTTTTCACCATTTTGCCTAGTTATTTATTGGTTATTTTACCATGTGAAAGGAGACAGCTCCTCTACAGCTTTTCAAGTATATTTCATCATTTCTGGCCTCAAGGACTCTTCATCTGCTCATCTCTGGTTCAGCACAAGAATTTTATCCTTTGAGCTAGCAGATAGGTTTATTGAGTCAACAGATAAGGCTTCTGGCAGTGACATGAAAATGTTGACATTATTGGAAATATTAGATTTAGGGTTGTATGCTTCAAACGGTATCCATTTTGCCTTGCTATGGGTAGTCTAAATATGTTTTGTAAATGTCTAACTTTGAAGTTATATTACATTTGTTCTTGAAAGGATGTATCATTTGGTGTCTCACAGGAGGCAATATATTGTGATAAAAAATGTAGACTTGGAGTCATATATATTTGGAATTATTTGTATCCTAGTTCTGCTACATATTAGCTAAAACCTCATCTTTTGAGAATCACAAATGAAACTTGGATGTATTGCTGCTTTTCGTATTTATTGTTTTCAGCTATTGATTTTAAGACTTTCTCATGATAAGTTTTACTCACCTTCGATTTTGAAAAGACATCTAGCTCAGAATAATATATTTTATAATGTTTAGAAATGTTTGTATCTGTCTACACTCATTTTGCTCCTTGCCATGAAAAGTAAAGATAAAGCAGTTAACTCCGGATTTAATGTCTTCATAGCAGTCATAGCAAGGACTTAATTGAACTAAGAGAAAATGACTAGATATTATCATAGATAACTTTAGGGGGGAAAAAATTAACTTTTTTTTATCTTTGCAGCGTTCTGCCCTAGGTCCAAATGTTACCAAAATCACTCTAGAATCTTTTCTTGCATGGAAGAAAAGAAAAAGACAAGAAAAGATTGATAAACTTGAGCAAGATATAGAAAGAAGGAAAGCAGACTTCAAAGCTGGGAAAGCATTAGTGGTATGTCCCAAACTCCTAAATAGGTTTTCTATTCTTTCTTTCATTTTATAATTTCTATATTATGGAAGATTTTATCTCTATTTAATTATGTATATGTCTAAAGTCAATGACCAGCAGAGATTTCCCTGGCAATCCAGCAGTGAAGACTCCACTCTTCTACTGCCAGGGGCATGGGTTCAATCCCTGATGGAGGAACTAAAATTCCACATGCTATGTGGGACAACCAAAAAAAATAAAGGATTTTTAAAAATAAAATCAATGACTAAGAAATGTTTGAAGTTTGTCCTGAGTTGATATATGTGTGTATTTGAATAGATCAGTGGTCGTGAGGTGTTTGAATTTCGTCCTGAACTGGTTGACGATGATGATGAGGAAGCTGATGATACCCGTTACACCCAGGGAACAGGTGGTGATGAGGTAAGAAGGATGCTTTGGCACTTCATCTTCTCATGTTGATTGAGAGAAACAGAGAGAGTGACACCAGAGCAGTATAGTTAAGAGTACTAACTTGGAGGCCTTGGTTCAGATCCGTACTCTACCCTGGGAAATTAGCTACACTCTAGGCCTCCACATCCGTAATACTGCCATAACAACAATCCCTCCGGTCACAAAGTACTTCTGAGAATTAAATGAGTTAGTGAGTTCATATTTGTTTATACTTCTTTATACAACTTGGGATAGTACCTAATATAGTGTTAAATGCTTGAGTGTATTAGCTGTAAAATGTTTTACTCTCCCTCTCAAAAAAAGGTTTTTGTTTAATACTTTATAGTAAAAAAAAAATCTAAAAGAGGTTAGACCAGTCTTGACAAACTTAGATGGCTGCAGGTACCAGACCGGTAACATAAACGTATGATTTGGCGGAATATAAAGGTAATAAATAGTGGAGGCTGTGGAAATGGGTGGCTGGTTGGATATTGAAGCCATTAACTGAAACTTCAAGGAAATGAAAATGAGTTTGGGAGCACGAGTATGAGATATTTTGCTTATCAAAAGTGGCATTGTCTAGGATACTATGTAGACATTCCCAGGAGGAAAAGGTTTGAAATTCATCTGCATTCATAGCTAACAGGGAATGATTTCACCTAGGCCCAATACATAGGATAAGAATGTTCTAGAACAGACTGCTAAAAACATTAATGTTTTAGAGTAGTAGAAAGGAAAAAGCTTGGGAAAGTTACTGAGAAGAACAAAATTTCAGGAAGATTAAGTCGGGTGAGAGTTAGAAATAATTAATTATGACTGGGGAGAGAATTGTAAGAACAGAGCACGCAGTTTTCACTGGGACTACAGTGGTATGAGGAGTAAGGAGAACAAGTGAACTTAAATCACTCGCGTTTACAGACTTTTAGAGGGAGACATGGTCATGAGAGAAGGGTCTTTTAGAATATGGGAAATCTAAATATTATCTGTGGACCAGAAAAAAAGGATCTGAAAAAGAAAAATTGAAGATGAAACAGTGCTAGATATAGAATCAAGATCTGGAGCTATAAGTAGTTAAGTTCGTTCGATTAAGAATGGACAGGAGGCTGGCTCATGTATATTTGGAAATAAAAGATTGCTAATACAATTTATATCTAATTGTCTTGAGTAAGAAAAAAAAAAGTTTGGCACAGTTGCTGTGAAGGAAAGGGGTAGACAAAAGTTGAGAGGGGGGAAAAAAGCTAAACCTTATTTTTACAGTAAAGAAATACAAGTTATAACTGGAAAAACTGGCCTGCCCTCCTGAGGTTTGAGAACGGGGCAATCGCAAACTAATTTGCTCCTTTTAGAAGTAGGGCTTTGGTAGTAACAGGCACAACTGCAAGTACCTCAGAGGTTTTAATTCCCAAGAATTTGTCATCGGAGATGTATGAAATAACTTTAAGCTATTGAAAATTCTCTTCTGTTCATTATTGGTGTCATTGAACAAGAAAGGGAAGCATTTTTGTTTTGTCAGTCATAATAACTATAGCCTGAAAGAAGTAGCTGCACAGCCCCAGGGTTATTTTTTCCACACTTTGATGACAATATGAAATGTTCCTGCATTTACACCATTACAACTCGTGTGACTTAACTACTGTTTGTAAAACCAAAAACTCTGTAGCTGCTTGTATCATGAACATTTTTTAGATCACATAATCATTTATCAAAATACATGGAAGTTGACTTTAAAAACCTAATTGTTGGGCCATGTAGAGAATACAGAGTTGTATAAAATAAATCTTGCCCTCAGATGTATGAACCATTAAACAATCAGATGTCTTCAGTGAAAGACATATTTTATAGTAGGTTTAGAAAACTGATACAGATAAGCTCAAAAAAAGAAAAATCAGTTCTTGTTAGAGTAATCTTAAGGAAGGCTTTCATGGAAAAAGGAAAAGAAGTATATCAGTCTGTAACTATTCCTAGTGGACTAGTGCTTTCGTTTTCTAGGCCTTATTGATTTTAATTTTTATTTTTAGAAAACAAATTAAGTGAAGCTTCCGGAGGTAGGGCTGAAAATGGTGAGAGAAGTGATTTGGAAGAGGACAACGAAGGGGAAGGACAAGAAAATGGAGCCATCGATGCTGTTCCTGTTGATGAAAATCTGTTTACTGGGGAAGATTTGGATGAACTAGAAGAAGAATTAAACACACTTGATTTAGAAGAATGACACCAAACAAGTCAATGAAAAAATTGAGCCAGCTCAGCATGAGTTGAAATTGACTACATTAATTTTTTTCCACCTAAAACTTCAACAGGATATTTGTTTCCCATGCTGATTATGGAGGGCTTACTTCCTCCAAAAAAGGAATATTCTCCCTACATCTTGTTTTCTGACTTTGGCTACATCTCATAGTAAGTTCAGAGTAGTTCATGATAAATTAAATGGTCATTGCAGAAAATGATTGATGGTTGTAATTGTCCACTCAAGTAGGAAGTGTAAACTGCTTTTCCAGCTTTTGATTTTCATTGGGCATGTGTTGTTACAAGGACAACATAAATTTAAATTACCCTTCATTTAAGGCAATTTTTAATGAGTGATTCTATTTCCTTTGTATTTATATGTTTAAAAGACTGCCTAAGATATGAGCCTGTAACTTCATCAAGGAAACTGCATATGCAGATTCAGTATTGTATATCTTTGGACAATTAGATGGACATTTAAAATGAAACTTCATTAATCTGACAAGATCAACTGCAATGCCCTGTGTTAAACTGTTTGAAACCACTCCCTTTTTTTTTTTGCCAATAAAGTTGTAAATAAAAACAGTGATACAATAAATTCCAAATACAGACCTTTTTTTTTTTTTTAATGTTTTTCTCTGAAAGTCTTCTGACTGTTTCTAGCTTGAGAATTTTTACTAAATATCTATTAGAATTAACTATCACAAAAGACGCAGACATTTAAAGGATTCTCTTAATGCCGATTACAGGACTGAGTGCTGATAGCACTACTGTGAGTTTAATAACACAAATACTTAGCCTCAGAAAGAAACTATGGATGGTGTTATATGAAAGGGTAATTACTAAATTGATAGATCATCAACCTACATGCATATGGGCTAGCAGTGCAGGTAAAGCAGTTGTACCAAGTACTACTTAAGTATCATTGCGGAGATCCATTGTGTTATAGTAGTATATGATGAAGTTTGATAACCTTGTGTAAAAGAGTGTAAAGAAATCCACCAGAAAAGTGGGCTGGGGGCCTTTGACACTGATACATTTTGAATACGAATACAGTGCTGCTTTTGTTATGTGCTAATCTTAATGGATTTTAAGAAATTAAGATAATAGCAGTAAAAGGTCAGGTGACCTAGGCCCTAATTATATGATTTTTAAATTCTTTGAACTTTAGTTTCTTTGTCTGCATAGAGAAGTTAAAGTGTTTCTGAATTGTGACAGCTAAGAAAACATGATTGTAAATCTTATCAGCGATAACATCAAAGTTGATAGAGAAATTGAGTTCTTGACAATTCAGTACTATTAAGGTTTAGACTATCAGGAGCCAAGTTTTCCCATCTACGATGGAAGTATACTTTCATACTTTTCTATGAAAGATTTATTTCATTCTTTTTATTAAAAAGCTTTAAATACTTTAATAATGAAACATTTCAATTTGAAGTATTATTTCCTTACAGCAAGCATTTGATTTTGAAAACTAGTTTTCTTTAATTAGTGAGTTAAAAGGAAAATGCTATAGTGTGAAAGTAATTTTCATTACCCATGATTCTTTACACATAGGACCACCTTCATCTAATTTGCCTGTCTTCCATTAGAAAAATAATATGCTCAGAGAATGCAAAAAAAAAATTTAATCTGAAAAAAATCAGAATGTAAAATTAAATCGTATACAGGCATACCTCAGATATTTTGAGTGTTCAGTTCAAACAACTGCAGTACAGCAAAATATTCCACTAAAGCAAGTCACACAAATTTTTTTTCCTGTTGCATAAAAAAGTTTTATTTACACTCTACTGAAGTCTGTTAAGTGTGCAGTACCATTATGTCTATAGAACAGTGTACATTCCTTCCTTAAAGATATTGCTAAAAAAGAAAGGCTAACCATCATCTCATAAGAGAACCATCACTTCAGGAAGTCACTGTATTAATATAAAAAATCACATCACAGATCATTAAAGCAAATATTATATTAATGCAAAAGTTGCCAATGTTACCAGAATTATCAAAGCATGACACAGAGACAAAGCAAGCAAATGATATTGGAAAAATGGCGCCGATAGACTTGCTCAGCGAAGTACAGTTTAAAAATGCTGATACTGGACGTTTATCAAATTGAAAGCCTGTGGCTTCCCTGCATCAAGCAGGTCTATCAGAGCATTATTTTTCCACATGTTATTCTTAAATTAATGTTTGTTTTTGTTTTTTAAGATATAATGCTATTGTACACTTAATAAGCTACAGTGTGAACTTTTATTTGTACTGAAAGTGAAAGTGTTAGTTGCTCAGTTGTGTCCAGCTCTGCAATTCCATAGACTAGCCCGCCAGGCTCCTCTGTCTATGGAATTTTCCAGGCAAGGATACTGGAATGGGTTGCGATTTCCTTCTCTGACGGATCTTCCTGACCCCCAGGGGTTGAACCCGGGTCTCCCTCATTGCAGGCAGGTGATGGTCTCAGCCACCAGGAAAGCCCTGTATGTACTGGGAAACCAATAAATTTGTGTGACTCTATTGTAATATGCACTTTTATTTCTTATTAATGTAATATTGCACATATGTAATATGTGGTGATCTGGAACTGAACCTGTGATATCTCCAAGGTGTTCCTGTATTATTGACAGTGCAGTTACCCTGTCTTGGGACAACAAATCTGACATTGGCACTTGTTTTCAAAACCATTTACATGAAACTTTTTAGTTTTGTTTTTTTTTTTTTTACACATTGCTCTTGTATAACTTCCATTGTTAACATAGTAGGTCTCTGTAATCTAATCTTAATTATTTGATGACTTAGCTTCATTTTTAAAGATTTGTGATTTAGGAACTTATAATGTAAGCCCTTCACAGAAGAACTGTGGCTTTACCCTTATTTCCCTTTAGTTTGTTAATGAGATCATTTTCCCAAACATAAGACTTTTTTATTTTCTTTAACATCTAGGGGGTTACGTCAGTCAACACTTTTTATCCTGTACTCAATAATTGTTACTATCATGATCCTATGTTTGCCAAAATCTTTCTAATGCAAACTAATTTAATTATAATATTAACTTCTTTTTGCACAGATAATTTATATAATACTATAGACCTACCATGGATGGACTGACGCAAAATTGTGTAATTGTTACATTTTTTTAATATTTGAATTAGGCCATTCTGACCAGTAAGTGGTTTAGAATGTGATAAAAAGGAATCTACAGCATCATATTTACATGTAGCAGATCATAAAGCATTGCATCCATCCTCAGGTTTTAACACACACAGTGCACAAAAGGGAGTTTGTGACAGAAGTTATTACAGGTAATTAATAGTATTGAATGAGTTCTATTCATATTCTGTGTAGTGAACTTTGTATAAAGAGCTTTCAGGATCACAGGCTACAGACTAGTCTTTATATATTAAAGTGGAGATCTGGGATTCTGATACACATACAGGTATCTATCTGATGTCTATACAGATACATATACTGATTCTGATACATACACTGTTAATGTTAACGCTTCCAGGTACATACACACTGTTTGTGCTGTATGAACTTAGGTATGTGTAGCAATGAATGTATTACTACAAGGAATACTATGTGATAGGTAGTAGGTGGACTACCAAAATCTTGTGTTTGGGGTTTTTGTCTTTTTTTCAGATGCATATCCCATTGGTAATAGTATTTTCTGAATGAGGATAATACCTTGTTTCTGAATTAATAAAAACTACAAAGATAACTTTAAACTAGAATTTAGTACTATCCACAAAATTTCATGGCTGCCCTGGTGGCTAAGACAGTAAGGCATCTGCCTGCAATGCGGAAGACCTGGGTTCAGTCCCTGGGTTGAGAAGATCCCCTGAAGAAGGAAATGGCAACCCACTCCAGTATTCTTGCCTGAAGAATTCCATGGACAGAGGAACCTGGTAGGCTACAGTCCATGGGTTCACAGAGAGTCGGACATGACTGAACCACTTTACTTCACAAAATTTCTTAGTATCTTTAGAAATAAATCTGAAAGCTGAGTGCACATGCACACACACAATCCTGAATGACATTAGTACAAAATGCATTTCCAAATACTCCCTCTCCATTTTAATGTATGTTTACCCTTTTACTGTCCATTACTTTCTGTTAATAGGCAATTTATTCATTCAATTAATAGGTTTTTGTGCCTTTTCACAAATAAGATACTTCTCATAGGCACTGTAGCATGACTTAGCTTAAGACTTTGTGCCTGATTTGAGTATACATTTTAGAAGAGCAGAGTCACAGCTGTGTAAGGCTATGAAATATGAAACTGAAATAGCAAGTACATAACTGTTAATAGGAATGGCTTTTCTATCAGAAAACTGTAGGCAAACTTTTCAGTCATTTTGTATTTACATTTCATTGAGTATTTAGATTTTTTTAAATAAAAATGTCTTTTGTGAAAGTATTTTGATGGACATTTTTCAGGCAAAGATGGTTATTTTATACTTGGTCCCCAGAGACATATATTGGATTTGAAACAAATGTAGGTAAAATTAAGTGATACTTAGGGACTTAAGCACTAGGGCTTAATTTTGTTAGCCCTGTCTAGTTAGCTTAATGCTGCTAATTCAGAAGACAGTTAATACCTGACCACTTTTTTTGACACTTAATCTTGAGAAAAGAGTATGCTAATGTTTTCAAAGTAGCATATATATACCAGTTTCAATTTTACATGTGCAGTTGTGTCTCTTTACCTATGAATCCTTTAATCTGTGCTTAATCTTTCCTGATTTTTAGGAAACTGTATTTCAATGACAAAGATCAGTACTACTTTTACATATTTTAAGAATTTTGTAATGCTGTTACTATGTTTATTTGGTACTTATTTATTTTGAGTAATCTATTTACAATTTTACAACATGTATAGAAATGTATCAAAGAATGTGTAATTGAAAGGTGTATAATACACTAATTGTGTGGATCACCTCATGATTGTGCATTATTGCATATATTGTATGTGTGTGTGCATGCATGCATGCATGCAGACTCAATCATGTCCAACTCTTTACGACCCCATAGACTTAGCCAGCCAGTCTCCTCTGTCCATGGAATTTTCCAGGCAAGAATACTGAAGGGGTTGCTATTTCCTTCTCCATGGGATAGGCCCGACCTGAGGANCCATGGGATTTTCCAGGCAAGAATACTGGAGTGGGTTGCCATTTCCTTCTCCAGGAGATCTTCCCGACCCAGGGATTGAGCCCGGGTCTCCCGCATTGTAGGCAGATGCTTTACCATCTGAGCCACCAGGGAATCTAAAGAGAACACCAATCATAAAGGAAAAGTAAATATTTGCTGCTTTTCTACTCCAAACTTAGCTTTCAGCTCTGTGGTGGGTGGGGTGGGGGCAGTCATTAATAGCTTCAACTTGTTTATCTTCAATTTAAAACTAGGACTAAAAAGAATTATATCTACTTTGAACTAATTATTACAATTTTACATTACTTTATGGGTCTTTATAACTTTTTCTCCAGAGCAATCTTCTAGTGGGAAGGGTAAATTCTTGACTATCTTAATACATAGCCTTCAAGAACCATTTGATGTGTGGAATGGCTCATATACAGGAGACCCCATTCATCCCTTGATACCCACCTCACTCCTTTTCTTCTCAG